TAACGACCACATGGGACTTAACGTGTGAGGCGCTTTTTTTAATCCCCTCATCATAGTTTATTTCTCAGTGGTTCCTGTTCTTCTCCAAAGAGCCTCAGGCAGATTTAATTAATGCACTGATACGTCACTGGAAGTTAAACCCAGTGGGTGGGATAGTCCTGGGAATTCTTGATGGGGGTGTGCCGCCCAGTTCTCCAAATCCTGACCCTATTTTAGACTAAAAACAAGTCATTTGTTTTCCACACCCGTTTTCAGACCCGAGGCCGATTTTTCGAACGTCCCGATAACTTTTCAGGTCCGGAAAGCTGTCTTTCGTGTTTGCTTTCAAGATCAAAGTTTCAATAATTTTGAAAATGATGTAATAAAGTTAACAGTTAACGAAGCAGAAATGACTGGTATGTGAGCTAGAAACTGTGTTACTATTCAACAGGTTGATAAACTGACTTTTTCATCACCCTCCTGAACGTAACTCCGTCTACCCTGGTCCGAGAGGTTTTTCTTGATTTTTCTTCGCGAAAGAGATCAACAGCAAGCCGCGAAGCGGCGACAACGAGTCGCGTAAGCGACGAGGAGAGAGAGAAAAACCTCTGGTTACCTTGGCCTGGAATCTCACTTTCATGCAGACGACAGCTGTCAAACGCGTCAAATTGCTAATAAAAAGAGTGACCAATGGCAACTTAGCAAACACGTGCTTATCAGCCGCTATTTTTTAAGTGGGGGTAGACCTGGGGAAATTATGTTATGAACAAACCATCTTCACTTGGGTGGTAAAGAGTGATTTGGTAAGCGGGGTCAAGCTAAAGCATGTGTTAACGATGGGCGACAAGAGTCCAGGAATAAGAAGACCACTTTATAAAGAAACCGACATTGTTCCAAACGAATGCTGCAGGATTTGCAGAATTTATTTGGGTATAATAACAAGGATTTTTCACAAACATTGTCATCTGTTCTGTCGGCAGTGTGCCAGCGGGAAGTTGTAAAGTTTGCAAGAGTCTATCAATCGCGCTTATTACATTGTTTACTTCTGCGGGGCGCGCCGTTCGCGTCGATTCGCGGGCATTCCCCTGAAAATAGTAATATTAATATGTATTCTGGCAATCTGGCTCGAATTTTGGTTTGGTGGCTCCATTTCCTTTTTTTGTGGAACAACGACGCTAGGAAGAGTCATGCAGCACAACAAAGCCTTAAGGTTCGGAATGTACTTTCAGAGGTTTTTGTTGGCCCAATAGACCTATTCGGCTAACTCAATGTACCCAATTCAAACCCTTTGGGAATAAAACGTTTTGTTTCAGGAATTTCCATATCATTTAAATGTGAATGCCACATTATAATGCAAATGCAATACACAAAGAATCTTATCCCCGGGAGATTTGAATTGGGTACAACATTGAGTTAGCCGAATAGGTCTATGCCAAAAATAGCGTCGGTTAGATCTTTTTTGGGCGTCGCAGGAAAATCAAGTTGCACCGAAAATGATTACGCACTTGTACAAAGTTGTATGTTTTTTTCCTACAAGGAAACTTTCATTCCGTATTCGGAGATTTTTTATTTTGCTGCCCTAAACAAGTTAGTTTATTTAATGGAATGACAGTATTGTAACAAAAAATATACTTTCCATGTCTGGTTGATAAAATGGTGAACACATCCTTTCGACTCAACGCAGCGAACAAAGCTTTCTTTTGTTGCTCAGTGAGACTCGGGAAAGCGCTCATTAAGTACCGAGGTCAAAATTTCTTCGAATATTCTTTCAGGAACAACATCCATAGCGTGCCTCTACGTGCCTTGGTCCCGTGCAAATGTTATTGCGAGTGCAGCATACAAACAATTTTCTTCCCTAGTAGAGAGAGGCAAAATGAGGTGTGAAAATCCTCAGCGTCCCCTCGGTAGTTACAATTAAACGAGCCAATCAAATTGGTTTGCGTGTTTGAAAAACTATCAACCAATCAACGCCCGAGGGTCAGATCCTGACCCTGTCGTCAGCATGAAAGTGAGATTCGAGGCCAAGGTAACCAGAGGTTTTTCTCTCTCTCCTCGTTGCTTTCGCGACTCGTTGTCGCCGCTTCGCGGTTTGCTCTTGATCTCTTTCGCGAAGAAAAATCAAGAAAAACCTCTGTAAACTCCGTCCACCTCTGATGAAGGTTATTTGTGTGCTACTGATAAAGAAGGCTTCTCCACTGGTAAACGATGCTTTTTAGTGGCGTTTACTGATGGGGTCGTTGAGAAGAAGAGGAACTCCACCAAAATCAGCCAGTTAAACTTATTTTACTTACTCGCAAAGGTGGTTTTACATTCTTCCTGATGTTCTTCTCTTTCTTTATCTATCTATAACTGCTTACTCCTTCTTCTAAAAGCTTACTTCTTAACAGCTCTCTATTTATTTGTTTGCTGATCATTGATAACAGGTTTACATATATTGCGTAGGATGTATCTGCAAACAAAAACGAGCCACAAAACTTATGCTTCCTTAGTTAATTACTGAAAAGGTCGAAATGTTCATTTAAAAGATGGCTATCTTCTGAGGGACGTCAAGTTTTGAGACAAGATGTCCCACTCTCAAAAAGCATACTGTTGATATTAATCTTTCTGCATGCAAAGCTTATTTTAGTGATTTGGTTATTCATGTTGCATCTTTAAAGGTAAACACTTAGAATGTTCTAGAACCTTAAAAGTCTATTGATGGGATATTTATCGAACTTTCATTAACTTTCCATATATCTTCAAAATCGGGAAGACAAGTCCTGTAACAAGGTTTTTCTTTTAAAGTTATTGGACTTTTCGAGAAAACGGGGCCCTGGCCTCTAAAATCCGTTTTCGGACCTGGTCTATTTAACAATTATTCTTTGAAATCGAGGTGAATAGTGGCTTAATATCGCGGCAAGGTAAATATTCCCAAAGCCACTATTCACCGAGATTGAAAAGAATAATTGTTTTAGTATATACACAAAATCAGAGAGGAAACCATTAAAAAGTACGATTTGATTGACAGATCAAATCACGCGTAAGTTTAAAAATAGCTCTTTGCAGAGTTTTCAAACATGGCAATTCACAAGTTTATCATTTCGCAAACAACAGCGTAATGGCTTCAATGGAACCGCCAAAAGTTTGAACTGTTTCCTTACCTGAGAAGAAAAGTAGAGCTTTGTTGATTTCTGTTGACTCGCCAAGTTAAAAGCCAAAAGGGTTTGTTGTGCCGTTCTTCGCATGAAGTGCTGACAAAAATAGCGGCTCGGTTGCTCTAGGTAATACGTCGTCTTCCTGTATCATTCTTTTTCCTGTTTACTTGAAACGCAGAATTTCTGCAAACATTTCCTTTTAAATTTGTTTGTCATTAATAAACTTCGCTTTTTGAGCCAAAATTCTCTTGTTAGAAAACGCTGAGTTCACGAAACGGCTTCCTCTACGCGAATACACGGGAGTTGTAAACAATCCATCGAGCACAAAACTCAGCTACAGTAAATTGAAAAACGCCGTATTGAATCCTTCTAAGTCTTTTCTTGCCTTAAAAAAAGTCAGCCCTAGGAGCTCACACATTATCCACTCGCTAGGAGGTGAATATTGTTGAATAGTCCGAGATAGCGAACCAATCAGATTGCTTAAATCACCAAGATCACTGAGTGTGTATATACTAAAAGAAATTATGTCATCATTACTTAGATTAGAACTACAGCAAAAATGATTTCTTAAAATTCATTTCGAAAACGCACATTTCCGTTTCTGTCTTACTCATTTGGAACTGACAGCTGACCTGAAACCCTTACGATAAATACGTTCATACACTCCCGTGGTTCCTTCGATACCATACCCGATTCCAGACCAAAATGGAAAAAGTCTATACCCGTCTTCAGACCAAAACGACGCAAAACCCACACCTTTTGGGGCGGCACATACCTATATGGCTTATAGAAGGGAGTACCCCCGGAAGCTGAGTCCGTTGAAATAAGTCTGTCGCATAATTCGAAGCTGCTTAGCATGGGTAAAGTTAACAATCCCTTTTAATTTGGGCCTTTTCAAGTGACCGTGATTGTCTCCCAATAAAGGATATAATAAAGTCTTTATAGTAACTATACACATGGCTCTTGACGCCGTTCAAGGAAACCAGCCAGGCCAATGGGATGAAAAGAAAATGACTCTGAACAAAGCTGCACTCGGATAAGCGACATGTGCAGTGGCTTTATAGAGTACACGAGAAGAAGTACGCACATGCAGACATCAACCAAACCTCCGAGACAGGGGTTTTTGTGAGAAGGAACTTCTCTTCCATTTATATATCTGTACTCTTCGCCGATTGCTTTGCTTCACGAAAAATGACCATTTGATGCTGTCTGCAAACAGTTTTATTTATTTTTAATGAACGCGTCTGAGGAAGTCACATTAACAGACCAATCTTGTGTCGTTCTACAAAACAATTACGCATCAGGGCACAGAGATGTTCAAATTAAATCAAGGCAAGAGGCTATATACTGGGAAGCCTTTCCTATCTAGTGATAATCTGTATCGTTTTTGCGCTATTTTAAAACAACACATGGTTACATCACTTTTTCGAGGGTTTTGTTGTTTTCGTAGGATATATATTTTTACTTTTAACCTAATTCAGATGTTTAGTGTTTGGGCTTGCTGTAAATGAACAAACACATATTTAAATTGTAATTTTAATTGGGGGTGTTCTGGTCAAAAACCTTGGTTTTCTTTCCCCCTTGTTCTTCAAAGCCAATATTTTACTCAATCAAAACATGGCTCGACGGTCAGAGTCATTGCTTTAATTAATGATTGAGAATGTTTGGATGATTTTTCGAACGGTTTTTTTACTGGATAAAAATCCGGGGTGGATGTTTGAAATAGTGGTTTTAGGAATTAAAATGTAAGGGAATAACTAGTATACCAGTTACTGGTTTATGTTTATACCTTTTCCTACCCTCATTTCTTTCATTGACAATTCAAACCCAATTCCCGCCCCGCCCCTTTAAAAGTCAATCAAACTACCTCCTGCAGTGAAAACGGCGTTAGTTTCTATAGGAAGCAAAAAAAAAAAAAAAACTTCCGAAATCGCTGAGGGAAGGATTATCTTAACGGTATTTACTTTATTCGTCCAGCTGTAAGCTGATAATTCAAATCTCTCACAAACAACGTAGCTTTTTTTTTATCATTTTCAGTTTTCCAGTGATGTGTGCGTGTTTGTGCGAATCAATAAAATTGCGTACTTGACATCGAAAGACTAATATTGACAAGCTGTACGTTTATTAGTCGAACCTGTATGAAGTGGACCCCGTTTTAATCAGACACTATGTTTTAAGCGCCCAGAAGCGACGGAAACACACTTTTTTCCATATTACTAATTGGTGGTTTTCACTGTGACGTCATCAGATTGAAAAGTCAAAAAAGCGAGGTTTTACGAATTCTTATTTACCCTAGGTTGAAGATAAATAGAAAATAAATCTTTGTACAAGTTTCCAGCCCCGAAGCATGTTTCATTTCGAAAATACAGCAATTTGAACTTCCGAATTTTCACAGTGCGTGACACCGAAATAGGAAATTGATGTCTCATTGAAAGTTTAACCATTTCAAAAATTAAAAGATGTGTTTATGCGCACTTATGCTAGCTCTCGAGTGAAAAGGAAGAGCTTTTATGGAAAAAGTGAACTCCAGATGTTTTTGTTGATTTCCGGCGGCCATCAATATGGCGTCTCCATACAAAGCTCTGCAAAGGTGCGTGAAATGTTTCGGCAAATACCTCAGAAACTGTGGGCCACAAAGACCTGAGATTTGGGCAAATTGTTTATATATTAGTCTTTTATAACATTTCGTTTTTTTGGCTTCTTCCACTAGACGGTTTCTAATTTATTTTTTTGTGCCGTGTTTATTGCGTGACAGTTAATGCTCTTCTCCCTAAGTAAGAACATCACTTAAAAATGGCCTTCCAGCAGTCTGTGATCCGCTCACCGATATAGCCAAGGACTTGACGACGTTTACTTACTAGGTAAATTACTACCTTTTAATACAAGTACTGATTTCCAACGTTTTTTAACTACATACACCATGAACGGTACAAAAGGTTAAAGCAGACGTTGGTGCGTGTAAATAATGAATTGTTTGGAGTTTGTCCTTATCGATGCCTTCTTTCTGTCAAATTTGTGTGAGAATTCTTCGTTAATGTAAAAGGATGTTTGATGGTGCCGCTTTATTTGAATAAGTGTTATGGTCTGTCAGATTGAGTTTCCTGCAAGTTGACAAACTTTGACAGGTGCTAAACTGGATTTCCTTTTATGTCAAACACTAAGTCACGTGACATGTATCTACCCGTGTCTGTTGTCGATGTGAAAAATCTATTGCAGTATGATTCTGCCAGTGACCGCAAAAAGTGAAGATTACAAGATTTGTAAGCAACCATATATAACAAGTATTTTACCTACATCTGTCTTTGTCCGCGAAATAGGGATATCATACTTATTGCCGCAACTGATGAAATATTCCAATAATTATAATAATATTCTAATATCCCATCACCAGATGCATGCTGATCACTCTCGATCTTCGACGTATAACTGTTCCATCTACTACAATTTATTTTTGGTAGTTTACTGCCACTCTTGTCCCTTTTGTGAAAAAAAAAAACAATATATAACAATATTTATTTATAACAATAATGTTATAAACTCCCTTTTTATTTTTACAGAACATCGAAGATCTTCAGTCTTAAAAGTTACTGGGCTGACGTTATTTTTCCACTAAAAAAGGTAGCGGAACTCGCTTTAGGAAATACGGACTCGGAGTTGGTTGAGTCGTGCATTGCTTAGTAGCAAACGTCCAGTTTGATAGATTCCAACCAGATGATGGATTAACCCATACTGCATGAGGTCTCACTGACATTCATGAATTATTTACACATACAAAAACTCTTTATATAACGTTGAACAAAAAGGAAATTAATATAGCTATAGCTAGCACTCATTTGCCTGAACTTGGAGGTCAGGTGTAGGTTTCAGGTAACGAGCGACGCCATCACGTCCCTTCGAGAATTATTTAACCAAGTTCCTTATAGCAAGCGGCGTAACAAAGAAGAAGGCGACGAGAGAGTTACAATTGAAACAAATTTACTGGTAAACAAAAGCTGTAAACCATGGTTACTACATTGGCATTTCTACTCTTATTTTCCGTCACCGAGGCAATGAATTACAAATTAGGTCTGCTCATCCCTTTAAAACAAGCAGAATACACCAAGCAAGGGAACTACTATGCGTCTGCCATCAACATCGCTATTGACGACATCAATAAGAATAATAACCTTTTGAAGGACCATAACATTACGTTTGTTTGGAATGAGACAAATTGCCGCGAAGAAGGGGACGAAAACAAGACTATACGTGCGCTGATTCATCAGTTGTACGAGGAAAAAGTTTCTGCAATTATCGGGCCCGGATGCAACTGCAACACTTCAGCTCGGATAGCTGCTGCATTCAATGTTCCCATGATATCATATGTGAGTATACACTTTTTTTTCCTTTTTAGCCGGACGGCACACATCTAACTTTCAAGTTACGTCAGCTGTTTTCTTTTTTTGTTGTTAATTTTACCTTTGAAAGTTGCGTGTTGCATGTTAGACTTCTAATAAGATCTAATGTCAACTGAACCATAATTTCATTCATGATCTCTTAAGATAATCATTCAAAATCTTAACTATTGGTTGAAGCTTTGACATCCCTTGGACAAAGTTGTCATTATTCTTGAATTCAAGTATCGTAGCCGGATGTTTCTGATGTTTGACTTCAGTTTGTCTGCACTTACGGTCGTCTCCACTTTATTCCTAAAAGCCTCAATTTAAGAAAAAACAAGGAAATTAAACATGTTTTCTATGTTAAAGACTCAAAGCAAGCACAAAAGCTTGAAAGGAAGTGAAGACAAATAAAATTATTTGTTTAATTTATGTTTGCTTGAAACATTTTTGTTCAAAATGAATGTTCTACTTGTATTGATTTCTATGAGGATTTGCATTCAGAGGAAAGTTTAAAATACCACACCCTGCCCGTTAGTATGAAAAGATTATCTGATAAAACAATAATCAAGAGCGACAAGAGCATGAATTAAAAAAAAAAACCAGAAAACAGGAAAGATGGCAAAAAATTAATGACTTACAGACAATAGTCTATTATAAGAATATCGTTCTATATTATAACAGTTTAAGACACTTACGGAAATGCTTGCTGTTTTTCAGATTAGAAGCTGGTGGTTTCTATCCGTTGCTTACTATTTTTTTTAACCCCTGGCTATTGTTACTCCCCGGGAGACATCTTTAATGAGCATTTTCCGTGATTAAGCGTGCTAAATTTAAAAAAAATGAGTTATTTGAATTTGAACAAACGAAGGTCGCACCTAGAGAAATCTATTCACTGTTGTAATTTAAGATAAACATTGACTCCAAAGGGGTAGAAACATGTAACCTGCGATCAATTATTGTGAATATTAAACGATTATTGGATGAGGTTTTAGTGATATCCGAAATAATCAAGGTCGAGGCGAAAGTCGAGGCTGATAACACTTACCAAGACCTTGATTATTAAGGATATCACAAAAACCGAATCCAATAATTGTTTTATTATACATTGTTTTGAAGAAAATAACGACAAACACACCGTCGCAAGGTACCTGAATTGCTATATTGTTATTGGAAATCATGCATTACAGAGAAAGCTAGTGTTACCAAAGTTTAGCGGTGAGATAACAAAGTTTAAGTCATTTTGGGATAGTTTTGACAGTGCTGTAAATAAGAATGCTCACCTTTCCTCCGTTGACAAGTTTAATTACCTTCATGCGTTGTTAGAAGGTCAGGCTGCCCAAGCTATTCAAGGCCTTACATTGTCAGAATCTAACTATCAGCTTGCAGTTTAAATTTTACATGAGCGTTTTGGTAAAACACAACAAATCATTTCAGCTCATATGGATGAGCTTCTCAAGTTGCCAACTTGTACATGGGATAAACCTGGTCAGCTGCGAATTATTTGTGACAAAATCAAGATTAATGTGCGTGGTTTAGAGCGTCTAGGAGTGAAAGCAGAGCAATATGGTAGTTTTCTCATACCAGTGATCATGTCAAGATTGCCAGCTGAAGTAAGGTTACATGTTACTAGAGTTTCTACCAAGGATGTGTGGGAGATAAATGAGCTGTTGAAAGTGATCCAGGCAGAACTTGAGGCTAGAGAAATGAGTGACACCATGAGGATACAAGAAAAGAAAGGGACTGAAACAACTCCTACACCCAAGAGAGGATTTTCCCCAGGAACTGCTAACTCACTGCTTGCAAGGCCAGGTGATGGATCAGGAATTCGTTGTGCGTTTTGCACTGGTGAACATTATTCATCTGCATGTGAAGAAGTCAAGGAATTTCAGAAACGAAAGAACATTTTTAGGAGGGATAAACGTTTTTTGTGTTTGTCAGTGGGTCATCGTGCAAACCAGTGTACCCGGAAGAAAAAGTGTAGAGTTTGTGACAGGACAGATCATCATCAGTCAGTTTGTGAAATGAGTTCTAATCAGTCAAGATCTGAAACACCAGCTGCACCAACCAATGCTAAAACTAAAGAAGATAGAGAGCCTAGTGCAAGTAAGAAACCTCCTCAGAACATCACAACAACATCCACAGCAAGATGCAAGGTGCAGGTACTTTTGCAAACAGCTAGAACATATATGCCTATGTTGAGAATGGTAAGCGGAAGCCAAAGATCTTACATTACAAATCATTTGAAGAGAAAACTGGGTCTGATACCCAAAAGGACTGAAACACTGAATTTGAACACATTTGGCAATAAGAAGTTTTCAAAAAGGGATTGTGATTTGATCAAGTTACGTTTACAAGGAAAACATGGCGTTTTGAGGCTATCTGTTCACCTGTACCTTCAAAGGTTTCACTCCATGACCACCCTCATTTGCTAGATTTAGACCTAGCAGGCTGTATTTCAGGTAACATAGACAGCCAGGACAATATAGATGTGTTGATAGGCTCTGACTACTACTGGGATATAATTAGGGGGGGGTTGCTTGTGGAGATGACAAATTGGTGGCATTTAGTAGCAAATTTGGATGGCTCCTGTCTGGGCCTACAAAGGGGGACAGTGGAACTTCCCACTCCACCACATCAGATCTAGTTGTTCAGAAACCATATGACTTCATGGAGAGCCAAAACCAGGCTACAGAACTAGCGAAAAGTTTAAACCGGTTCTGGGACATTGAATCAGCTGGGATTACTGAGACATCAAGCAAGGTAAACGAAGATGAGCAGTTTTTGAGATTCATTAAGTTTGACTAGGATGGAGGAAGATATGAGGTTGACCTTCCTTGGAGAGAACAAACATGTAAACAGTCTGACAACTTTCATCTGTCTGTCACCAGACTTAAGCACATTTGAAGAAAGATGAGAAGTTACTTCAGTAGTATGACACAATTTTCAGGGCACAATTAAAAGCTGGGATCAAAGAATTGGTTCCTAGAGATGAGGAAGATTTCGAGGGTGCTCACTTTCTACCACATCATGGAGTTTTGAGAGAAGACAGGGAGACTACAAAGCTGCGTATCGTATTTAATGGCTCAGAAAGAGCGGACAAGAATCACTACTTGTTGAATGACTGTTTAGAAAAGGGCCCAAATTTAACCCCACATGTATTTAAAGTACTGGCCAAGTTCAGAAGTTATCCTGTAGGACTGACAGCTGACATTGAGAAAGCATTTCATCAAATTTCAGTTAATCCGGCTGACCGTGACCAATTGAGATTTCTGTGGTTTAAGAACGTGAACATGAAGATATGGTTTCAGAAACTCTGCGTTGATAAAGTGAACTGGGAGGACCGTTTAGAAGGAACAATGTTAGCAAAATGGAACCATCTCTTCAGTGAGTTTTCAGCCTTAGCCAAATTAAATATCCCCAGGTGTTGCTTCGTGAGAGAGAGGAAGCCAGTTTGTCGCCAACTCCATGGGTTCAGGGATGCATCTGAACAAGCCATTGCAGCGGTTGTCTATCTGCGTACAGTGTATGAAGCTGGAGATGTTGACGTGCGGCTCATTGCCTCCAAGACAAAGGTTGCACCACTGAAGAAACAATCAATCACAAGATTAGAACTCATGAGTGCTTATATTTTATCAAAACTAGTAGACACAGTTTGCAATGTGTTCAAGTTACTGCCATTTGAAGTAGATGTGTACTATTGCGTAGACTCATTCACCACACTCTGTTGGATCAAGAACCACAGGCCGTGGAAGCAGTACGTTCAGCATAGGGTGGACGTGATCCGTAAACTGACAGACATAGAGAAGTGGAGATTTTGTCCTGGGAACATGAACCCAGCCGACATATCCTCAAGAGGTTGCTCTGGGAAGGATGTTGTTGAAAGTGAATTGTGGTGGTCTGGACCGACCTTCTTAAGGGAGCCTTCAAAATTGTGGCCCGAGACACCATCTACATCAGCACCTAACACGACTTCTGAAGAATTAGTCAAGCACACACCTGCTACAAAACATTCACTAGCAACGGCAGCGCTCAATAGAACACTGTATGAGAATCTGGAAGAAATAATGGACATTGAAAGATATGGGTCCAAGTTGAAGTTGCTGCGAGTTACTGCTTACGTGTTGAAATTCCTTCGGTTACTGAGGGGAGATAGAGGTGCAGTCAAGAGTAAGGATCTAAGGGCTGAAGATCTAAACTTTGCAGAGGTCACATGGATCCGAGGTGTGCAACGTCATTCATTTGCTACGGAGCGACAGGACCTTCGTCATGGTTATGAGGGAAGCAAGCACGTGAAGCAATTCGACCTATATCTTGATGAGGACAACATTATTCGCTGTAAGGGTCGGATCAACAATGCGGACACAACCGAAGAAAGCAAGAATCCAGTATTGCTACCTTCGCGCCACAGATACACAGAACTGTTGATCAGACAGAGACATGATCATGTTCACCACAATGGTGTCAAAGAGACATTGAATGCTATACGAGAAACACACTGGGTTCTGAAGGGAAGAGAAGCCGTAAAGAGAGTTATCAGAAAATGCACCATATGCAGAAGATATGAGGGGAAACCATTCATTGCTCCCCCCTCCCCTGAATTGCCTACAGATCGTGTTTATGAGGGACCGCCTTTCACGTACACAGGGATAGATTTTGCGGGATCACTTTATGTCAATTCTGCGTCACCTGAGAACCGCAGCAAAGCATACTGTTGCATCAACACGTGCTGTCCACCTTGAGTTAACTGATAGTTTGACAGTTACGTCTTTCTTACAAGCATTCCGAAGATTTGTTAGCCGAAGAGGACTTCCAGCAAAGTTGTTAACGGACAATGCGAAACCTTTAAGTCCGCATTAGTGGATATTAAGAAGATTTCAAGGTCTTGTGAAGTGAAGCAGTATCTTGCGAACAGACAGGTCGATTGGCAGTTCATCATGGAACGAGCCCCTTGGTAGGGTGGGTTCTGGGAGACTCGTGCGTAGTGTAAAACGGTGCTTAAAGAAATCTGTTGGACGATCCTTATTAACGTTTAAGGAACTCCGCACCTTAGTCGTAGAGATAGAAGCTACTCTGAACAACAGGCCATTGACCTACATCTATGATGATGAAGAAGGACTCTCATACCCACTCACTACAGCAGACTTGATATATGGTCGCCAAATCGCCACCATGCCACACCAGAGACACTGAATTGTCATTAGTACGTTCCAGTCATTGACAAAGAGAGCAAGATACCATTTCAGATTGCTTGAAGGTTTTACGAAGCAATGGCGTAAAGAGTATCTTTTAGGGTTGCGTGAATACCACCGAAACAGAACTGGAGCTATCGAACAATCCATTAGAATAGGAGACATTGTCGTTTTGAAGGAAGAAGGATCTGCGCGTTGTTGGTGGAAGCTAGCCAAAGTCACGGAGCTATTGAAGAGCAGGGACAACGTTGTGAGGTCAGCAAAGATTCAAGTTCTCAACACAGATGCGCAAAGGAGACCGACCGTGTTGAGACGCGCAGTTCAACATCTCATACCACTGGAAGTGAACCATTCTTTAGAGATGCTTAAAAAAGTTGACTATTTGAGATCGTTGTTATTCAAGTACATTTAGTGTATCAGTTTTAAGTCTTGTTTTGTCTTAAGAGTTGAACTTGCAGTGTATGCATCCGAATTTCTAGCCTGTTTGAGGACACTTGCGAAGACTGAACTTGAATTTTGAGGAGTTTCGTGCGTCACTTTTGTCATTTGAGTTGAACGTTGGACATTTATCATTTGCTTCAGAACTTTTAAATGGTTGATTTACCTTTAGGCAATCAATCCTGGAGAGTGTTGTAATCATTTTATACCGGTACACGCGAGGATAACGCGCGCGTATAGTCACATGTTACAAGACAACAAATTGTCCATAATTCTGTTCACAACAGCTCTTGATCACAGTAGATTAGGCCTCGAAGACAAATTCTTGAAAACAAATCAGGCCGAATTTTTTTTTCGTTCGACAGGTTTACTTTACAAATTCTTGCCAACAAATCTGGGGGTGTGTAAACCAACCTTTTATACTTTTTATACATCACATCTGAGGTGAAACAGTACTATTTATCATACAGACCTCGGACAGAATGCGGTATTTCACAATTTTTCAAGACAAATTGCACTTAGTCAATATTCAGGACGATCAATCGTGCGCTTTTAGCGAAACCGTTCAAAAAAATTCCAAAATCACCCATACGGCCAGCCGGTTCTCATTTCTAGTGCGAGCTGTCAGTGTGGTCGAGTGTTTGAATGAACTTTAATAGAGTTACGCTTCAACATAATAACGAGTTTATTATCATTATTTTTTTTTGTCATTTAATGATTTCAGTTATAACGATGTGTAATCTTATAACGTGTTTGATACGCGCGACATTTTTGAGTACTCCTGCAAGCGATGTTCATGAACGATGAAAACAAACGGCACGTACAAGCGATTAAAATTGCAAGAGAGACTACTAACAATCAATAAAAGAAATATAATTCGGTGAAACATTTACAGAGACAACAATTTTCATTCACGAAGACAGGTATTAAAGTGTCTCTAAAAATCCTGAGTCTTTAAGCTTAAAGCTTAAGCTCACGCTTGAGTTAATTATGTTTTACTTTAAGCTGGCCTCCCCCTGGCCTCCTGGTGTTTGCTTTTTTCAAAGATGAAGTCCTCGAAGCAAGAAAATCTCTCAAAGGTTTCTTTCTACAGCCAAATTTATAACTAAATATTCTTCGGAACGTTTCCTTTCTATTTGCGGTGAGAAAATATATCTGAAGGCCTTTTAAGCTTATATCAAACCTGACACTAGGTCAGATCATTGACTCAAATCTTACAAATGTGCATAAGCTCGCCGCAGAAACTGTGCTCGACTTCATGAAATTAGATAAAACAAAAACAAACATCAAATACAACAATTATTCAGGCTTACCATTCGAGATTCAGTTCCTGAAAGGTGTCAAGGAAGGCCACAGTTGCTTGAGACTTTTAAACGCTCTTACGCATTAAGCAAGGTGAAAAACGAAAACGATGCCATCCGAAATCGGATTACCGAATTTTAACAACCGACGCATTTCTCAACCAAAAACCCAGTAAACAAACCAGCCATGAATAACAGAAGACTCTTGATAGCAGCTGTATTTCATTTTAATTTGTGCATCCAGTGGAAAAAGACAGTTAAAAACATCACAAGTTGACACAAAACTCTGTCAGCTTCAGCTGTCAAAGTAAGCAACTTGCAAGATGCCGCATACATTTACGGCATGAACTCACCTGTCAAATTTTGACCAATCAAAGCATAAAAATTGGACGTAGAGCGTGACCAACGCGTGACCATGGTAAGAAAAGGTCTTCCCGCCTGTATTTTTTTTAAAAAACTGGCTGAATTTTCGCGTCCGAGGTCAGTTTGAAATCAAAAACTTAATAGTGCGGAGCCATAATGACATAAACACAACATACAGTATTTCATAAGAATCATTGGAAAAAATAAACTAGAGCCTGTGATCATTTGAAACCGGTAATTTGTCAGCGGATAACTTCAAAAAAATACTCGACCTCGATGGGTCGGTACGGTCATGTGGTACTGGTCAGCGGATACCCTATTTTGACAATTGTCAATTGAGCACAACATTGATGTGCAATTAGCTTTCTCCTGGGCTCCCAAACCAGCTAGAAAGTGTGGGAGTAAACATTGGTTTCCCTGTGGTGCGGACGGACGGTCGTTCGTTCGACGTTCGGTGTACGGTCACGTGATTACCAAATTTTCTGGGCTCTGCTATGACCTGTACGCTGTGCAATTGGATCTTTATACAGTAGGTGACAAAGGCAGAAAGCCATGCGACCATTTTAAATCCTAATTATATTGCCTGGCAAGGGTATTATAACGCTTTTAATTAGTGTTTCTACTAACTTAGTCAATCTTACTTTGAAAGCTTTTCAGTGAGGTTTGCTTAGCTTTCCAGGGTTTGTCGAGGCCATTTTTGAGTCGGTGCCGGAACTTTGTATAAAAAATTAAAGTACCTCAGGTCCTTCAATGACGAAGTCTGATTGGCTACAGTGCCCTTCTCTTTATGTTACTAATATGGTGCTTGTAACAGAAAATATTTACGAGCATCGTTCAAAATCTACATATGCCGGGTTACATGTTTCAAGCCCTTATGAGTTTGTGGTACAATCAGTATTTTTTCAAAAAAAGGATTCGTGTTTAAACTCTGCGGGTTTTTGTTGTTGTTTTTGTTTGTTGTTTGTTTGTTGGCTGTTTTCTGAGATACTGAGTAGAGAGACAGTCCTATTGGAAGTTGATCCTCTATTTAGACTGAACTACAACTGCACTAACCCTTTGGTACAATTGAGATTGCCTGAAAGAAACAACATTTAGACTCTTAAACGACCGTGCCGTGCCATCGCATCCTTGTTGTATCCTTGGAGACCCGGGGGCAGCTAACAGTCACACATCATGTTACGAGTAAAAAAACTGCAGCCGTAAAGTTTATGAGAAGAAATAAAGAGCCAATGGGCGCTTATTCTTCTCCAACCAGCTCCAGAAGAAGTGAAGATATTATTAAGTTCACAGAGTCAGATTGACATATTTCAGGCCGAAGAGAAACGAAGAATTTGAAATCTTCAGGAACGTGCTCGGAGAGAATGTACGGCAATGACCAGGGGTCTTCCAGCTCTTGCCGAAAACGTTCCCTCGTAGCCATTTAATCAAATGATTACGTATCTGTCCCAACAAGTTGTTCTTATGGGTCTTCAAGAATAAGGGTCCTCTGCTTTCAATAATTCGACTTCAACTTGTTAGAAATGAATTCTAAATTCCAATAACTTATTTTATTAATAGCAACAATCTGCAACAAAATTAGTTGAGTCTCCTTGCCCTAGAGGGCCTCTTTGACGTTTTGCTAAGGAAAAAAAGGGGAAAGTTAAGTTTTTTTCTCCCCCAATCCCTTCACGTAATGCTGTGCCGCTGTTCGAGCTACCTGTATAGAAAACAACACCTCGATCAACTTTGAATGAATTGGAGAACGCGACAAATCCGGGAACTTTAAGTGAAGGAGATTGTTTTGTTTTCTGAAGTTACCCCATTTGACTGCAATGTCTTAACAATTTTGTCACCGATTGAAGATTTAAGAAAATATAAATGAGCCAAAGATTAGACAATATGCGTAAAATTTCGCCTTTTTAAGTACCTGCCGCCTGCTACTTTCAAACATTTTTGGGTTCCACGATCAAGATATTTACCCTCTTTTGTACAAAACTAGGATAGCAAACGAAAAGCCTTTATTAGTAGTATTAAAAATGTTGGGGCAGCGATGGAGATTGAGCAATTTTCGTTAAACTCTTTACGTTCACGAAAATTGTTTTGGAATTACCATTGACTTTCATTCCAACAGTTTCAGATCGCATTAACTTTACATTCAAAATTACCGTAGAGGTTTCCTTCAAAATTGTCGAGGACTACGAGAGAACGTCACTTGCGTAAGCACTTGTAGAGGTCGCTATATCCTTAGATCATCAATTTGTTTTTTCATTTGATTTATTTACTCGTTGTTTATGTTTCCTTTTTGCATAGATGTGCGCTAGCACTGAACTTTCAAATAAGAAGCTTTATTCGACGTTTATGAGAACCTACGCACAAGCATCGAAAATACCCGAGTACCTGGCTATGTTGCTTCAGTATTACAAGTGGAAAAATGTGGGCATCATGTTTACGAAAAAGAAAAAATGGTTAACTCGCAAAGAAGACATCGTCAGAAAGCTGAAACTGGCCAAGATTAAGATCCGGATAGAAGTAGAGCTTGACGATTCGTACCTATTCGATGTCAACGAAACAGAGTACATGAAACAAGTCAAGCAGAAATTGAAGTTAATCAAGGACCAGGCTAGAAGTGAGCAAACAAATTAGTGATTGCTGTTTTACGTGTATTTTTACAGAAGCAGGTGGCCGGATTAATGTCTTTCCAGAGTTTGCATTGAGTGACTCAAGGCGTAAAGCGCTAGTTCCCGGAATAGAACAGTAACACTTTTTTGCGCGATCATGGCCACTAACAACAACAAGGCGCAGCATACAGTTTTGTCCGACAACGCCACAACAAAAATAAAGAAATACAGTAAACACCCGCATATAATAACACACGATTTCGGAGGTCAGGCTGATTGAGTTCTTATTTATCGGGTGCTTAATGACAAATCAGCCTTAAAGTGTTCTTAAATTTTTATTTAGTAATACTATCCAAAACATGTTGCTAGAGTTATATCTAGCATATTTTAGGAAAATAAAATAAATAATTATTCTATAATTTGATTATATTAATAAATGAAGTTATCTGACAGCAAACATAAATTTACATGTTTTGTAATCATGACACTTTTTCCATTTTATAAGAACATGTTACAATCTTCAGGCTGATCTTGTTCTTATAAAAATGGGGCTTTATTGGCCACATTTCAGCCTGGTGTTCTTAAATCCATTTGTTCTTATATGCGGGTGTTTACTGTAGCACTGATTGCGATAACAATAACCATAATGACAATGATGATGAGAATGAGAATGAGAATGACAACGATAACAACAACGATAACGGTTATGAAAATGATAACCTCTCTTGGATAGTATAGTAATAATTATAATAAGCAGGGTGGTTAGCAGGTATTCTAGACCTCTATTTTCATGGGTCCCATTTTAACTTGCACTTCCTACAATACTTTCATTAAAACCAAAGCCGAATAACCCTCGTTATAAACGTGCATTATATTGGACCTAATAACAATGATATTGTTTCATTTACAGTTATTATTGTACTGGAAGAATTCCGTTACGCAAAAGAACTGCTTCTTCCTGCTTGTGAAGAAGGACTCACCAACGGTGATTATGCATTCATCCTCTTTTTCTTAAATCATCACGAGGTTTTAGTAAACAAACAGACCAATAATTCCTGGGCGTACCCCCATTGTGACAGCAACGATTCCTACAGCAGATGCAAATTCCAACAGGCTTTTGACTCAGCTCTGGTGATGTCATTGAATATAAACGAAAGCAGCGGATCATACAGATATTTCCAGCGAACCGTAAAACAGCGGTCTACAGAGCCGCCTTTTTACAGCCAAGGTTATGAAGGCCACTTATACAACAACCCAAATTACACACTAAAAAACGAGACAATTGAGGTAAGTAAGCAATACTGATGTTTTACTGCTTCTTTATTTTGTCCCTCTTTTTGTAAATAATGTTATTTTCACACTTGCAGCTTTTACTGACTGAAAAAAAAAACAGGAGACCTAGACATTGTAATTTAGACTTTTTTGTGTTAAGAAATTTTATCGTATTTGAAAGTATACATTTTTTTTTGACCTGTCAAACTCTGCTGTTGATAGCTATATGCGTGTTTGAGCCAGTACTCGCTTTTTTTTTTACATGAAGGGAGGAAGATCCTAATTCCAGGAACACCCTAAAAGGCGAATCATCCTAGCGCCATATGTTTTACGTAATCAATTTACATGCAATAAGTTGTACTTGTCCCTAGTGCTAGGATCTTCTTAGCGTAGCACCATGTCAACTGTTTTCGCTAGGAAGGGCCCAGTACCAGGTGCAAACCATAATAGGACCAAAATTTCTGCATGTAGACTCAACGAATCTTCCCAGTGGCAGATCCAGACCTTCAGATAGGGGGGGGGGGGGGGGGGGGGGTCATTCAGACCCTGAGATAAGGGTGGCCCGGTCTCGTTTTGGTCTAAAAATGAGGGGGGACGGGCCCCCCCGGGCCCCTTGTCTGGATCAGCCACTACTTCCTCCGTCCATGTAAGCAGCCCCTCATAGTAGAGTCAACTTAAGTCAGTGAAGACTGGAAAGCAAAGTTTTGATAATCCTCCTTGGTTAAATTTGTTTTCTTTATAACCAAATTGACAAAACTTATTAGGTTACTGTATGGAAAATATACAAAACTAAAATGAATTCGTTGCTCTTTTTCATTTCGTATAACGATCGTTCTGTACCCACTGACGACCTATTAGGAATGTCTTCCTACAACTTGAGGCGCTGACCATTAGTCGGAACTGACCAGCCAAAAAAGAGAATTTCGCCTTCAATCAGAAATCAGGACTATCAAGCCCGATCAGTCTTTTCCTAAGTTTCATTCACGACAGAGATAGGTTATTAGCGAAACCTCTCTTAGAAAAGCCTTTGTCATGATCAAAATGACCAGCCAGGCGGCCTGTTCCGATTTGTGGTAAGCATTTTAAAGGGATTATATCACGAAGAAATGGGTGTTTTACAACTCTGGCTGTTTTAGGTTAATCCTGTGCTGAAGTAATTACTTTGCGCCTTCAGCCACACTCAAAATGCTCCAGCCCTGTAGAATTATGAAGAAGGTATCAAACAAATTTTATCAGGGAACACTAACCATAAGAAATGTTTTGGTGATATTTACAAACGCATAGCATTAAAACTTCAACAAGTCAGCCTAAGTTTTTCAAGTTTTGATCCATGTCCGTCCTTCCGCCACCCGTAGCAATAGACGACAAGAAACATTTTCAATGCTTAAATGTGGTCTTAAAAACAAAACAATACATGTCCTTTATTTTTGGAATTTAACTGATACGACACACGTTTTAGCTTTTTTTAAAAAAAAAAACAAATAAGAAATAACGTGACATAGTCCCTCTGAGGTTCCAGTGTAATTTTTAGGATCATTATACGTTTCTGGGAAACTGCCCACCTACCCCTCCCATAAGCCAACTTTAACACTTACTTCTTACTGTGGGCAAAATCTTGGCTTAAGGGAGGGGGGGATCATTAATAACTAACCTACAGGCATATTACCTTAACCTACAGGTACCAGTATACGCAGCCTTTCTTTACGATGCTGTTTACCAGTATGCCGTTGCCTTAGAAAAGACTTTGGCAAGAAATGAAACACCCGACGGGTTAAACATTATTTCAAAGCTTTTAAACAAAGAATACAATAGTAAGTGTTACGCAGCTGAAACTCGATCATATTACTCAAATAAGGGTTTTTTAAGGCCTCTGTCAAAGTTGTCTATCAACAAGTGTGTTTGGAAATTAAGATTGTTTGGCTGTATCACTCTCTAGGAAATATAATTACATTACACGTTTAGAATGCTGCATATATTTAAAATTTACTATCTTAAGAAAGTTTTTGATAAATTTAACCTAAATTTTGGCTAGCCAGCGCTACAGACGAAACTAAACTCTGGTTCAGTCCGTCTGCGAAATACATTGTGGCGCCGAAATCCTTGCTTTGAGTACGCGCCGTGATTGGCCTGTAAAAACAGTTAAAATATGATATTGTAGATTTGCCAATCAGGTTGAATGATATTCGAAACACATTTCTGGTAATTCGTTGAATCCGTTGAGGGGCCTACAACAAGGATTTTGGCGCTGCTTCGCAGTCGATACCATCCGGGATTAAATTACGTCTTCTACGCAGGCTAAACTTTGGCCGGCTTTAAAATGACGTTGTTCTGGTAGTTTTTTAGTGAAGTGCAAATAGACATTCATTCCAAACGTGAAGTGTTGGAAATATTAAATGAATAATATGATTTTCATTTCATTAATCGCCACCCCGCCACCTTGGTCAAATGACAGATGACGTGACTCTGAAAAAAAAAAAAGAAAGAAACGTCAGAAAAAGTTAACGCCACAAATGTCGAGGATGATGAGGTGTTTCTGCGTACCAAATAAATTCAAAATAGCTAGATTTTATTTATTTATTTTCTGAAAGTACTTTTTAACCTAATTGCCTACTCATACCCTTGTTATACTTACTGAAAACATGAAGGTGCAAACAAAAAGTTGCATCCTTAAAGGTTATACTCTTGCAAAGTGCTCAATAGACGTTATGAGAGAGCAAAAAAAAAATTGAAAAATTACTGTGAAATTAGTTGTATCGCGCTGCGCGTGTGTGCAAACATCGAAGGGGTTAATGTAAATAAAATGTAACGTGTTCGCTGATTCTAGAATGCTCAAGAATAGCGAAGGAAATGGCGATGGTGAGCGGATTTTTTTCGAAGGAAGGAGGAAGACGTTGCTTTATTCTTGCAAGTGACAAGAATAAGAAAGATCAGGAAAATCTGCGAAGTAAATTTAACAAGAACGCACTTACAGCGATAGTCAGTCTCGCTTCTTTGGAGATTAGATCGATAAATGAGGAGGCGATTAATTCTATACGAAACAGGATTTACTCGCTAAAGATTTTTTACTTCTTACTTTATCGACGTCAATACTTTTTACTTGTTTCTGAAATGATTTAGTACGCGTGTTAGTGACAACCGGAAATACTTCTGCAGTCTCAGGCTATAGGCGTGTATAAATAGGGCCTCGATTCCTGAGAAATTACATCATTGCTAGCCTGCGTGCAGACGATAACAAAACTCTGATTAGTACCGTCTGCGAAGCAGCCCAGAGATCCTTGTTCTGGACCCCCAACGGACTCAACGAATTACCGGAAGTGCGTTTCGAATTCCCCTTCAACCTGATTGGCGATCACGACAAACAAAACAAAGGCCTTTTTTAACTGGCCAATCGTGGCGCGTACTCAAATCTGGGTACACAGCTGGAAGTCCAGAACAAGGATTTCGGCGCTGTTTCGCAGACGGAGTTAACCAGAGTTTAATTTCGTCTGCGCGCAGGCTACATCCTTGCCAGAGATAAAAAAAAAAAGGTGTTTTACATGACACGTCATTTCAATCATCGCCGAAAATAGACCTCATGCTCATCGCAAGACCCGTTTTACATTCAGTGAAAGTTTACAACACCCGCCTATCGCTGTTTTGCTGATGAAGATTCTTATTTTTTTTCGACTACTCAGCAGTGCTCACTTGTTCCAAAGTAGTCAACGCTTTCACGCGATAGAATTCGTTTCAGAAAAGCTCTAAATTTAATCTTTCCCAATCATGCGACGCTTCGATCACAACGATTCTTAGTCCCAGTTTCCTCGGTCTACGCAAGGAACGCCTGGTGCAATAATCCCCCCATTTGTATACAAAATACGACGGAAAAAAACCCGGGGGTACTTCCAGAAAAATTGGGTAGGGATGTGCGGCACGCTTCCTGAACCCTTACCCTCTCTCAGACCAAAATCTGAGATTTTTCCTACCCTATTTCAGACCTGATCATAAATTTGATATCCTATTTCAGACCTGAAGCCCTGGAGCCCTGGAGCCCAGCGCGTGACCGGAGCGCGTGACAAGCTGTTACGGCACGTACACGGTTGGCGTAAACATTAAAATGGTCTTATGGCCAAATAACGAAGAAGTAGTTTCTTTTAAAAAACATACCAAATTCAAGACTAGAGAGCACAAACCATACCCTATTTCAGACCAAAATAGTCGAAACTGATACCCTATTTCACACCAAAACGGCTACAATTTATACCCTCTGGCGCCGCAAATACATATATAGCCTATGTAAGTGAGTACCCCCGGGGGCGTAAAACGCATTGCAGATTGAGTCTCGCTGCTTACGCAAGCGAGACTAACTAGTCGATTATTGCCAGAAACAGGTCGATCACAAAGCAACGAACCTTGAAACACGAAACAAACAAAACGGATCGAAATCCAAATTACAAACCATGACCTTTTGAACTCGTGCAAGTAAACAGGTGTTTCCGCTAAGATGATTGACGGAACAGCAAAAGCCGAAATTCCTTCGAAGTTTGTAAAAAGCGCTGCGCGACACAACGAATTTCGCTATAATTCAGCGGCTAATTTTGGATGGCAAAGATTAAAATAGGTCAATAAACGTGATGTAATGCACTTTTCTCCTTCTCTAAATGTAGGCATTCGTGGTGAGCGAGTCTATGTAGATAAGAATGGTGACGCGGAAAAGATTTTATTTTTACTGGATATGCGATGGCCGAATACATGTGAGTTGTATTTACTTACTATTTTTTTTAGTTTATGTTATTATTATAATTATTATTAATATTATTATTATTATATTATCATTATTATAACTGTAACAAGAGCTTTCCTCGTAAAGCTAATTTGTTGAGACGCTCTGCTTCATAACACAAATACAATTTATGACTTTTATAGACCACGCATCTTTATTGAAAATGTTTGATTTTGAGTTTTCATTCCTTTATTGTAGTGAAGACTGACTGCCCAGCAAAGCTTGTACCAGTGGGTGATTTTACGATTCAATATCAAAACAATAGCGAACCTCAGGTGAACTTCGCTCTCAGGTCTGATACGAAAATTCAGTGGCCTGGAGGAACCCCCCCTAAGGATAGTCCAGAATGCGGCTTTGAAAACGAGCTGTGCTCACCTGATGATTCATCTAAGGAAGCTGAAAGTGGTAAGGCGAATAAAATAAATTTAAACCAAATATATTCAGTACAGAATGTTTAATAGACTGTTTTCACTCAGGTGGCCAGCATCTACATAAATTTGGACCAAAAGAGAGGTTTGGTATACCAACATGGCCTCCGCGAAGTCATGTGAAAATGCTCTTAAGGATATTACGTTCTATGTAATTTTGAATTTGGCCAATCTTGGTACTGTTAATTTTATAAAGTTAACGTGGTTTATTGCAATCTATATTATGAGGGCTTGGATTGCGCAATTGAAAAACATTCATCAAATGCAATGAGCCGATAGAATGCATCTATGTAAACCTATTCGGACCAACAGAGTGGTTTGGTACACCAACATGGCCTCCCCGAAGTCATGTGAAAATGCTTTTAAGGATATTACGTCTTAAGTAATCCTTGAATTTGGCCAATCTTGGTACATTTGGTTTTATAAAATTAACGTGGTTTATTGGAAACTGTATTCTGCTGGCTTGACATGGATTGCAGAATTGAAAAACATCCATCAAATGCAAGGAGAGATAATGCATCTATGCAAATCTATTTGTGCCAAAAGAGTGGTATGGTATACCAACATGGCCTCCGAGAAGTCTTGTGAATTCAAAATGCTTTCAAGGATATAAGTAATTCTGAATTCGGTGCAGTTAGTTTTATTAAGCAAGACACGAAGGGGAAGACAAAAAGTCCTGAATAAAGCAGCTACAATAGTTCTAAATAAGGCTAGACACAAAATAGGAGACTCGAAGAGGAAGCTCACACATAGTTAGCGAGCCAGATCCAGAAAGGGTCATGAAAAGCAAGTGTTTAAAATTAGAGGCCCCTGAGATGGCAAAAAAGAAACCTCTACATAGTCTGCCAAGTAACGCTCAGCTCGTTTCAAATTTTTCAAGAAGTACAGTAGCCTTGCTGTGGAGGGGGGCCAGGATGATTATCTTTTCTCGATGAAAGCCCAAAATATATGTTTTTGAGATGCCTAATCTAGACAAATATTGTTTGGGGGTTGAAATTTGTCGTGCGCACCAGGTGATAAAAAAGCTCAAAATGGATCATCTGTGGCCGGCTGTATCACACTCCATGCTGCAACAGCTACAGAATGTCATAAAAGTTACTGAAATTCTGAATACATGTACTCGATAGAGCAATAAACATCTTCTAGAAATAAAGTTTTGATCCAATCAAAAATTATAGTGCAGAAAATTAGAGGAACGAACTTTTGGGACACCCTGTACGCGTTGCGCGAATGTTATTTTATTTTTTATATGCGTGTTAGGGTTGGGGAGTGGGGAGGGGGGTATTCTTTTATAGTAAAAATGTAAATTTTTTTTTCTAAATATTTCACAAATAGTTCGTTTAATTCTTTTAAATAACTTTGAATTGATCAAATTTGACTTTTTCATTACTTTGCAGTTAAGATGGCGATAATTGCTGGAATATCAGGGTTTGCAGCCCTTCTGCTTTGTCTTTTCTGTGTAACCAGAATAAGGTTAGTTTGTTCGGCTGCTCTCTAAAGGTTAATCTTTTATTCTATATTGCAATAGCACTATACGCTCCCCCCGAGTGTGTACTGATGAAAGATCCAAATAAATGGTTTTCTTTCATAAACTCAAGCTACTTTGAATTTAATTCTCTGAATTGACCTTACCGTACATTTGTTTTCTTTCTTCAGACAAATCAAATCGGAAAGAGAGCTGAAGAGTTTATTATGGAAAATAGATTATTCTGGAATTGTCCTTGCAAACTCAGACTACTTCGAATCAATGGATGATGATACGCTTGTGAGACTTTTTTTTCAGTTCTTTTTATATCTGACCCAAAAAATAGGGATGAAAACATTTTAAAGAGTAACGTAATTTCGTCAAGTTGTTAGACCTTATACTTTTGATAGACCAATGCCGTTCTCCTTAAAAGTGATCCCTAAGAATATATGTCTTACAAATTAGCAGTCTTTGCTAAGTTACTTTCGTGTATTTCACCCTTAAATGTTTCTATGACAACAACAAAATGTTAAAAAAGGTTGTAACTTTATGATTTGATAACGCAGATATAAGATAAAAACGTGAGGCCCCCTGTCATTATAATAGTAATAAATGTTGTTCAAGATATGTGCATGGAGTTGGCTTGTAAGACTGACATCATTTTTCTTTTGTTTCTCTGTAGTCTTTCCAAAAGAGCGAAAGCGACATTTTGCTCCAGTCCATCAGAAATGGTGAAAGTACTGGCGACTTAACTCGATTTGGGTTTTTCAAGGTACAACTATTATGACTCAGTTCTGTTTCGCCCCATGTGAAGGAATTAAAGGCAGTCTTGGATTCTGGACTCCACGCCATGGATTCCGGATTCCAGGTACTGGATTCCAGATCTTTTTCAGTGGAACTTGGATTCCAGTTGTTAGTGGGATTCCGGATTCCAAGGCCCAGGATTCCGGATTCAACAGGCAAACATTTCCAAGATTCTGGATTCCACATGCAAAAATGTCCAAGATACCGGATTCCACCTGCAAAAATATTTCAAGATTCCGGATTCCAAAGGCAAAAATTTCCAAGATTCCGGATTCCACATGCAAAAATTTTCAAGATTCCGGACTCCACACGCAAAAATTTCCAAGATTCCGGATTCCACAAGCAAAAATTTCCAAGATTCTGGAATCCGGACTCCCTTACATGGGGCGATCGGTTTTTATTAGATTATAATTGTCTCATTGAAGGATCGAAGTTAAAGCCACGCCAATCAGTTTCTTTGTTTTCTAGGGGACTTCCGTGGTAGTTAAACAAGTTGGCACAAAAGCTGTAGATTTAACCCGTTCTGTGCTAGTGGAAATGAAACAGGTATCTGAAAAATAAATTTCGATTATGCCTGACCGTGACCGTAGTTTTTCAATTCAGCTTTGTTGTCTCAATCACAGATGCTTGATGTTCGACATGACAACCTTGCACACTTTATCGGAGCTACCATTGACCCTCCGAACATTTGCATTGTGACAGCATTTTACTCTCGTGGAAGCCTTCAAGTAAGTTTGACTTTATTATTATTATCATTGTCATTTGCAATCCTCGGCTTGCTTGTTTAATCCCTGAAGCACCGGCTCCAAACCATGGACCTTGGGTACCAACGAGTTCACTTATTTGACATGAACCTTCCGAACCTTGGGCTTTTCCCAGAAAAGTAATTTTTTGGAGCTCGTATATCATCATCATCATCATCATCATCATCATCATCATTATCATCATCATCGTTGTCATCGTCGTCATCGTTATCGTCATGAACATAATTAACTTTATTGTTATTATTATTATTATTATTATTATTATTATTATTATTATTCTATTATTGTTTCTTTATTCGTTGATTTAGCTATTTTAAAGTAACATTACTTCGATTCACTGAAGCTGATGTTTTCTAATTCTGCGTGTATGCTTAATGGTTCCTCTTAACATTACACTTCTTAGACTTTAATTATATATACATTTTTTTAAACATTACACTCTTAACTAAACTATAAATACTGGAGGATGTTGATAATGATGTAACACTGTGATATACTTTCTAGCTAACGTTGTCTATAAAATCATTTCAAAGATAATTATGTCTGATGTCTTCCTTTTCATTACAAGGAAATCTTGGCGAATAAAGATGTGAAATTGGACCACATGTTTATTTCTTCACTTGTCAATGATATAGTTAAGGTAACTGTGTATTTTTCTGAAAGTGTTGCAAATAATTATAGTTAATGTTATTCCCGCCTTATGGCATGCATGATTTCAAAACAATTTCATTGATCTTACCCGTTAAGTCATACATGTATGTATCTTACACACGTTATTTTTTGTAGGGTATGGCCCATCTTCACAGCTCGGAGATCAAATCGCACGGGAATCTTAAATCTTCCAATTGTTTAGTGGATAGCCGCTGGGTACTAAAGATTGCTGACTACGGTCTACCAACAATTCGATCTAAGCTAAAGAAAAGTTACCTCTATTCTGACTTGTATTATAAAGGTATTATAAAGGTATTTTGTCCGGCATGTGTTTGAGTTTTTGCATTCGAGTGCATCAGCCAGGGTGTTTCTTTTAATCAGCAGCGTGGAATGTATTCTCACCTTTTTACTGGGATGGGACATCAACCCAAAGCCCAACCCCCGACCTGGAGGCTCAGGCGTTGCAATTCGTTTGGCCCTTCACCCTTTTAAAAACTTCACTGTACGGTTGAACTACCAGGGACCGAGGTCCCAACTAGTATAGCTTTCAGGATCACCGAGGCTCGCAAACCTCCCCACCACGATAAGGGCGAAACGCCTAGGAAAGATTGTGAGCCTTGTTTCGTGATTCTGTGTGTCGCAGTTTCAGAGGCTGAACAACATACAGGTAGAGTTCGCGAAAAATGCGTCATGGACATTTTTGCGGTTAATTAATCCAAACGTTTAAGTAGTAACTAGATCTTCGCTTATAATTTCGTTTGAGAGAAAACCAGCTTTGGCCACTTTTTGTATTTAGAACTTTTATGGATGGCTCCAGAAATTCTTCGAATGAGCGACCGTCCAGTTAATGGAACACAGAAGGGAGACGTATACAGTTTTGCTATTATTTTGCAAGAATTTCACACCAGAGAAGCACCCTACAGTGGAAGTTATCTACAGCCAAAAGGTAAAATTTTATCTGTAAATAATAGAATAAAGTTCCAAAGGCTAGTCAGAATATTTAGCAATTATTGGATGAAGCTGAGACGGTATGACGTGAAGAATTATGCAGGTCGAGAAGAATGTGATCTGCATAATTTACAAATCAAACCAAAGACGAATTATTTAATTGTTTCACTATTAATTCATTCAAAATATTTCAAACTTACAATATGCTTACCTAGATGATCTATGAAAGTTACCGTCTTTATAACTTTTACTTGCTCCTTGGCAGTCTCAGGATATGAAGGAGATATTCATTAAATGGCAGTTGTCATTTGTCGAGTGGCATTGTCGAGTTTCCCTTCTTGTTATGTTTTTAGCAGCCGTTCTCCTACTTAATTCTTTCGGTCAAAACGTGAGAAATCTTCCGCCATTTAATTCTCCAGTTCCACAAAGCAACTGAGTCACCGTACCTTCTGTTGTTCCTGTTTTCCAGTCAATTACTCGTTAAAGCGTTTGACCTGCTCCCGATCTTCTCGCGGTTGCGTCGCCAGAGGAAAAAGACAAAGAAAGAAAAAACAACAAAACAGCAACAAAACAACAACAACAACAACAAAAATTTTAACAGCGGCATTTGCCAGCTAATACAGCCACCTACACTGGCTTAACTAAGAGTTAAGCCAAATTTTTAGCAACGTCTTCCTGACTAGGAACGTGTACCTGGAGCTTGTGAAAGATTTTTCATCCTTTACTCCTCTGAGATGAACATGCCCCAAACAATCTCTAGGGAGGTAAATTATAACTGGTTATCATTGCTAAATGTGATTGACGCTAATCGCCATTCCAGGAGCAGGGCCTGGTTATAAATATGACATAAAATCTGCATATATATGGATTAGTTACACGATAACTGAGAAAATATTGTTGAGGGTAATGATGTGACATTTGATGAATATTATTGTTGTGGGTAACGACTCAACGGTTAATGTCCTATCGACGTGGGAATGGGTTTTGTTAATTAAACTCAACTGGACTTTTACTCACACGAGCTGGTGACAACGTTCGCCTGCATGCCTATGGGTGCGTCTTCCACGCTTTCTTTAGGAAGACCAAAGTAGCTGGTTCCTACATTCTCAATTCTTCTTTCTTTTATTAGAAATCATCAAGCGCGTCAGTGAGTGCGAGGTGCCTCCGTTTCGCCCCACCGAAGTCGCCCTCATCCGTCAAGTGGAGGAGTTAAGAGAATTGATGAAATGTTGTTGGGAGGAAAAGCCTGAAGCACGTCCAGACTTTCAAGAGATCAAGAAAACCATGCAGAGAATATTGATAAACAGTGGCGTGTAAGAAAAGACAATTCCAATGTTTCATTGTTCAGAATTATCCTGATACCAGAATTATATACCCAGCCAAGTGTAGGAATGGATCGACACCAACAAGCATTTCTCAGAGGATGACATTGTGCACACTTCCTAAAACCGAGACAGTTGGAGACGACTTATAGTCGACTGCTCATCTGTCGACCGATGATGATGATTATATACTCTTGACAATGCAAGTCTTGATTCGATTGCATGAGAAATCGATAATTTCAATACTGTCTACTTAAGGCATATAACGCAAAGACAGATGTTTTCACGCAGCGTAAGAAAACGAAAAATAGGTCTGTCCTGGCAGATCAACGGTTTGGTTTCACACTGTGTTTCACCGTCGACGAGGGCTGGTAACTCGTCTTGATCTAATGGCTAACCGTAAACGGTGGTGAATTTACAAACAGTTACAAAGTTAACCGACTTTCGATCTTAATAGAACTACTGCTCACTCCTTCTCACCTCTATTCTATCCTTAGGAAAACAAATATATTTGACAATGTGGTGTATATGATGGAGAAATACGCAGATAATCTAGAGGACCTTGTGAGTGACAGAACCGCTCAGCTGCTAGAGGAGAAGAAAAAGACTGATGCATTGTTGGATAGAATATTACCAAGGTATAAGGTTTTACAATAATATCACATGGTAAAAGGTGACTTACTCAACAAAATTTTATGAGGGGAGACTCCATCCCATGGTCCAACCCCTTACCTTTTTATATACGTACCATTTGTGACAAGAAAAGTTACCGTTTAAATATATACCGTCCATTGACAAATGGTACTCCTTTTTACATACCTACAAATTAAAGAAAAACGCACCCCTTTAACTGCTCTAACTGTCAATTTAATATGAATAAAATTAATCTCTAAAACAGGAAGTTATTCTTGCAATTTCCACAGGCATGAGTTGCGTTATTTCGAAATACTTCAATTTAAAGCCTTATAAACTACCGATTGGAAATGACATATTACCCAACGTTTTCAGTTACTTCATTCGGGAAATCCCTACCCTTTCATACATTGGAGCCTTCCCACTAGGCCATTATTGGGAGTACTCCCTTCCCCAGGAGGGAAAATTCTGTTCAGTTCCGCTTGAAAGTGTGCTGAGGGCTTGAACCCCGCGCTTAGACAACTGTTTTATCCTATACACTGCGTCCTGCTCACTAAAGAAAATTCCTAAATTGTTTCTTGCACAAACGTTTAAGCCAATATTTTGTCTTTTAGACCTGTTGCAGAGCAGCTTAAAAGGGGTAAAGCAGTAGAAGCGGAAAGTTTTCATGAGGTTTCCATTTACTTCAGTGACATTGTTGGATTTACTGAGCTATCATCGTCAAGTACACCGATGCAGGTATTTTACACTTTAATTAGTAATTTTCTCTTAGGATTTTGTCGATAACAAGGATGTAGATGTTTCCTCGTCATCTTGCGAATAAAAGACTGGCCAAATTCCAGGCCCAGAAGAAAAAAAAATACGGTAATGATAAGGCCAAAATAAAGAGCAACAAGCATCTGTGTTCCATTCTGGAAATCGCCCCATGAAAGGGAATCCAAGTCAGTCTTGGATTCTGGATTCCACTTTAGGGATTCCGGATTCTAGTTACTAGATTCCAATCCTTAGTGGGATTCTGCATGGATTCCTTGGGCTGTATTCCGAATTCCAGTGCCCAGGTTTTCAAATTCCACGAGAAGAATTTTCCAGATTCCGAAATCCGGATTCCCTTACACTGAGGGCGACTGCAAAATATTAGAGAAATTCAACTTTGAAATACTGCAACCGAGCTCGTTTTCCTTTCTTTTAGGTTGTAACATTTTTGAATGACCTCTATACGCTATTTGATGACATCATAAGTGCATTTGACGTTTATAAGGTATGTTGCTTTCTAACACCAACAGGGGTGAAGGTATTGAGAAAGTACTCCTATGCTTGCAATTACCCGTGCTTCGATGCCAGTACATTTGGTCGGAGAAATGGGACACGAAGCCCCTCAGATTTTTACACTCATTTGGAATCTGTTTTGGTTAACTCTGTAGGAAAAGTGCCGGATGAGCTAAAGTCTTTATAATAGTCTCCCTCGCAGCCGTTTTTTGGATGTCACGCAACGCTCCACCAAAAGAACGTTGCGTGACATCCAAAAAACGGCTGCGAGGGAGACTAAAGACTTAAGAGCCTTACACCGAATTTACACCAGGCAAACTTTTGCTTCAGTCATGTGACCAGCATTTATACAAATTTATGGGAACAGAAGAAATTGTTTACATAAGAAAAGAGTTGAACTCCCACAGGATTTGTGTGGAACACCAAAAAATTACAAACAAAATGGGCCTGGATCGTACTTTAGAAGGATCTATAGGGAGTCATCGGAGCATAACAGTACTAATATCTCCCCGCCGATTTTGCTTTAACAGGCTCATTTTTGTTGCTCTTTCTGGATGTGCCAATCTATCCCATAATTACACAGATTTGAATTTTTTGGGCGTCACACTTCTCTTCTCCATAACGTGTTTCAGTGAGAAAATTAAGTTGACAAATCATCAGACGGATCTAAAACAGCCATCTTTTGGTACAACCAAACCATGTGAAGTTAAAATTAACTAATGCTAATGTAGAATTGGCTTTTTCTGTCAGGTTGAGACAATAGGAGACGCTTACATGGTAGTATCTGGCCTTCCAATAAGAAATGGTCACAATCACGCTGCGGAGATAGCAGGAATGGCGCTTCATTTAATTGAAGGAGTAAAGAAGGATTTTACAATTCGTCACAAACCTGACCATAAAATCGAACTGCGTGTTGGTATACACAGTGGTAAGTTCGGCGAAGCAAGGCATTATACATAGTGTAGTGTATGAGTAGTGTTAAACTTGGGCCTTCCTGGTCGGCTTGTGTTGTCCTCGTTTTTTCGGCCTCTCCTTGGTCTCCTTTCTCTTTTCTTTACCGTCGACTAAAGAAAATAGTTCTTTTGCTTTTATTACGTGGTTTACATAATAGCCAAGCTTACCAGGAATGGGTAACTAGGGTTTTTGCACAAATGGTAAACTGGCCGGGTAAGCTAGGTTTGACAACCAAGAAAGCCTCGTTGTTTGAACCAGGCTTGCACCCTGGTTAACCCAAGCTTTTGGTGCACGGAAAGCCTCTATAAGTAAAAAAATGACCGATAGAAATACTCCAGAGATTACCTCATTCGCTCAAGCGAGCAAAACTAATAAACCGAGGTAACGTAGCTGAAGTAATTTTTTGTTTATGTTCTTTCTAGGCCCTGTAGTGGCTGGTGTGGTGGGTAACACGATGCCACGTTACTGTTTATTTGGTGATACAGTGAACACAGCGTCTAGAATGGAATCAACTGGGGAAGGTAAGAAATCTTTTCACATTGACAACTTTTTAAAGGGCTAAGTTATGCGCAATATGCCAGCTAATCGTAATAAAAAGGACAAAAAGGACAGAAAAGAAGTACAAAAAATAAAATGGAACAGGACTAGACTACAAAACAACCCGATTTTCTGCGTTGGTGATTGGCCATTTTGAGGTCACGTGGGACTCAGCCGGTGAATGTCGCGTTGCATTATGGGACGGTTTTAGGGCGCTTACTTTATTTTTACACATTCAAACTTTGTCCACCAAACAGTCCCATATTAGAGCAACTCGACAAAATCATTACTGACCCAGTTTCATGCACAATCTGAAAATGTTTCTTATCTCTGATGTTAAGTATCAATGTTCAAAGGTTATTGTTCTATTACTTTGTCGCGGTAACACTGAACCACAAGGCGTGACCCGGTTGGTTGTAGAGTGGGGAGCGCTTCAAGCAACGGCTACTGACTAGTACACTGCTCAGGAATACAGTGCCTTTTTTTGCAGCGCACTTAAGACTTAATTCTTGATACGCGTATACTTTTTTCAGGTTTAAAAATTCATATTAGCGAAGCAACGAAGTCTATTCTTGAAACATTAGGGGGCTTTATAATCGAAGAACGAGGACCCGTACACTTAAAGGTAGGCGATTCTTACACTTGATTTGCAATCTTACTTTGAGCACGAAAAATAAAAAAAATAATTTAAGTGAGGGTAATAATTGCGTTAAGTTCTCATTTACGTAACATTACAACTCATTTACGCCATGTAAAGTCAAACATTACCCTTTCTTTACGCATATGCGGAAGGTAGCATGAAGACTTCGTACATGCTAAGGGCAACCTTACTCAACCTTTACATAAGCGTAGATGAGTGTAAAGCTTTTACAACGTCGAGTACTTCAAGGGCTGGAACGAATTGGTTTACCTGTGAAAAATAATTTATTGGCTATACCTTCAGCACAGATTGTGGAGCTGAATATAAAATTTGGCACAAATAAAAACAAAGAACTCCATACTTAAAAATTTAAAGGTATAAATATTGTGTTTATAAGTCGTGATGTACCACGGGACCATTCTACTAAAAATCACAAATAATTGACAAATTGGTGGCGGGTTAAAGAAAAGAAATCCAGCAATAAAATTTTTCTTATTCATATTAAATATTTCTAACACTTCACGTTTGGAATGACTGACCATCGTTGTTCAATAAAAACAATATAAGGGCAAACATCATTTTAAATGCCCAAACTTAATTTTGAAGTAATTCCAAACGTAAAAAGTTTTTCCTCTATGAGAAATTCCAATTTATTTATCCAAACAAAGTTAATCCGCCACCAATTTCCTTTATTTTTACGTTTGGTCACGTGACATGTCTCGTGACCATAATTAAACCTTAAGGCAGTTTTTTATGCCAGCTTTACGAAGCACGTAAATTCACCTTTACGGAGGTTAATGTACACTTCAATATTTGGTAAGCCTCAATTTTAATGCTGTTTAAACCAGCATAAGGTCCTTGAATCAGATTTGATAAGCTTGACGTCTGTTTGCTACTATAGGGCAAAGGGACAGTTAAAGGATATTGGTTAATTGATTTTGCAAACCGAGCGTTACACCGGCATCGCCCATCTACTAAACGCCACAAAGGACTGACAGATGCTTCTGTTGCTTTCCGGGAAATGCTGGAACCTCCTCCATCGCCTTGCAGGTTGTCACGTGCGTCATCTCTCAGAAGAAATATGAAAGCTATCAGCGAATCTCCCTTGTTCAAAAGAAGACAACTCATGGAAGCCGATGAGACATTAGATGAAACAAATGACACCCAAGCCTTTGTCTAGTTCAACGGTAGCAAGGACTCAACTAACCTTGGATTGTACCCGGAGTTATTCGGAACTCAAAGACATCTCGTGGTTGGTGCACCGATCGTACATTATTTGTGCTCGCTTATTGGTCACTGAGATACGTAACGCTGGCTTTTACGCCATCGATCCCTGGAGAACAAACATTTTTTGTTTGTCGCAAAGTCCTTATAGGTTTACGTTTTGGGGCCCTGCCATACTTCGGACCTCGACTCATTATACTGAATGGATCTGAAGACAAAAGTAATTTGAAGAAAGGAGAACCATATTGAGTCTGAGGATGCCTACATTACAAGTTAATTAAATAAGACAATGATTATTCGTAAATCAATTTTGAATGAACATATTAAGATTTATTAAATGTATCAGCGGTTAAAACCGCGCACATCAAGGTCAAAATTCCTGTACAGGTAAGTTCAAAGTTCTTCAGGAAGTAAAAACTACGCAATAATTACAAAGTTTAAAAACAACTCTTATTCACAAATGAATAAAAATATATCAGTATTTTGCTGTATGATATCGATCATATTCACATTCTCACACTCCTAGGGAGAGTATAATGAAAGGAAGAAAAACTTGTTCTACCAACTGTATCTGTGTGCTATTTTCATGCCATCTCTGGAGCGAATTCATCGCGTTCACATTTTGTTTTAAAAAGTTATTGGCAAACGAATCCTTCATAGAAAGGCGAATTAAATGCAAGAGTTAAAAGACACCTTTGGTAATCTATGCAATTTTTTTAGCTCTCTGCTAGCTAATATCACTACTTAATTTTACAATATTTATGTGCTAATGCACAAGAATTTAATGTAACTAAGGATGCTCCCATGAAATCATTATGCGAGGCCGTTCAGCGATAGGTTGGTTATGCGAACACTCTAAAATAAGTCATCTCTAGGAAAACAATATAAATCAACGACCGCAAATATGCGACTCTGGATAATAAGATTGCATCTAGGTGCATGGATATTTTATGCAACCCTTTATTCTGGAGTATTTAAATCTTTGTTGGCTCTCACACAGTGGAGCTGTTTTATAAATCACTTGTCTAAACAATTCAAAATATAAAAAATAAAATACCTCCTAATAAATCGTTCTACGACTTTTTATTTGTACAATTTTCACGGCAGTGATTGGCTCGTTATATTATCCTTTTTATGGCTAAATTATTCACATGTTGAGCACCCCGTGGTTCATCATAAATATTCATCTGATCCAGCAGTTATATAAGGATTTTCGTAGCAATTTTGATTCAATCAGTTCATTCAATAAACAATTAAAAAAGATCACACCAGAAATAGTCGTTTTGTCTATCTTATAAGGCAGCAGGTACAAGACAGGTTAGAGTACAGGTCACCGTGCTACTGTAAATAAACAACACTAAAAATGTCTCCTAGCCCTAATCCAAAACCGAAATAGAGTTTTAACTTAAGGTCAACTGCTTATCTTGGTTAATGATCAATACAGCAGTGACTTCCACTGGTGATGTATGGCACTATGTGTTTTGTACCTGCCGCTAATAATTAGGTTTATTATACTTTCAACTAACTATCTCTTTTCTGATTGGCCGAAAGCATACAGTGAATTTTCGAAATCAGTGCCTGGGACGTCATCAGGCTGCAGATTATACAATAATCATGTCAAGGACACTCAAGGTCATGGGTAATCATGTCATGTATGACCGCGGTGCATGATTTCTAAGTATAATCACGTCAAGTTCCCGCGCTTTGTGCCTGCCGTCAGTGAAGAAGCAAAAAAATTGACTTCCAGGTTTGCTTCGTTGACCGAGCAAGACATCGAAAAATAGTTGAAGACAAGCACTCACAAAACACGAAAAGGTCGACGAAGGTGGCAAAGGAGCTGTTTGCCGATAACGTGAAACAGAACAAACTGAGAGAACCTTTTTACACGTTTAGAAATGAATTATTAGTTCTACTTACTGTCGTGACCATTTTTTTTCGTTCAATGTTTAATAAAACAATTATTAGATTCAGTTTTTGTGATATCCAGAATATTGAAGGTCTCAGTAAGGGTTGTCAGCTTCAGCCGATAACTCCTACCTCGACCTTGATTATTCTAGATATCACAAAAACCTCATCCAATAATTGTTTATTATGCCACTTGCCCTAGTCATCATTCCTCTACATACACGTTCAGCAAGTTATGTATTCTTGAGTTACAAGAACAAACATGAAGTCCATTTTTTCACAGTTTGGTCCTGTGTATTTATTACAACAGAGAAGCGTTTCACATGCAACCGCTCTCCATATTTGGAGATATTCGATATCCATATTTGGAACACTGACGTTCCTAACAGTCTCCGACATTAGCTCAGTGCTGGTGTTGACACCGTTTGAAACCAACTTCCTCTGGAGTAATCAAATACACAACCAAAAATCGAGTCTGCTTTAAGAAGAAAGGTAAAATGAGTGTAAAGCTTGCAGCGCTCCCAAGATGCCACGACGACATCCTTAAATTGCTTCACAGGAGGCTACAATTTTCCTCCCTTGGTGCTAGGCCATTATTTTGTTGTGTTTGACTTTCGAAACAAAAATCGTTTCTAGAAGGCAATCCTTGGATATATGACTTAAGCGAGATTTACCAACATTAACTGTCTACGTTATTCTAAATATATGTATAGACAGAGACAGTTATAAAGAACTTAGACGATGAGTACAGTGGACCAGACGATAATACCTCAGCAACATCGGAACATTATTTGGATCTAGTGCCGAAACGAGTAGGGCAAGTTCGAAAATAGCCTCCGGCCCAACAGACTTGACAATTCTGAAGAAATAAGTGATGCAATCAAACACTCGTAATAGAGTGATCGTTCGATTTTTTCTTACGGTTGTTTTCCATGCCAGCATTGTCAGTCACAACCACTACAGCTTTGGGCAACGCTGGACTACTGGAGGCTGATTTTAACGATCTTCGCAGACTCGAAGAACGCGTGATACAGGATTCCTCGTTATTAAGGCAGGGGAAAAGATTCATCATCGTCGAACGACGAGCCGATTTCTTTGGAGAACGATGGTGACGAGTTCGTCTTCTATGGGTGTGATCAACCAGCCAATACGTCAACATATTACCCTTTCCCTGTCAAACAAAACAAGCCATAATTTTAAAACAATGTTTGCTAAATTTTATCACCAGTCGACACAAACAATACACACTCTCCAAGGTCCACAAACGAAACAACCCTAATCACTGACCTCACACGCAACCTAAACGATCAAGAAATCAACCTCCTATCCCAGTAAAGGCCCGGCAAGTTTGGACTCTCTCCTGGAGTAAATGAACACACAATCACGAGCATCAGTATTGCATTCTACCGACGACTAGCCAACCAAATACGATGAAAACATTTCCGTGATTCAAGCCCTCAAAACTCAGATTTCTTCACTTATCCACAAACCTGGCACATCAACAGACCAGGGCCGAGTTGTTCAAAGCTGGGTTAAGATAACCCAGGGTTAGTGCGAGATTTGAATTCAGATTTGAAAGCTTAAAAAGCATTTCAGTTTTAATTCTTTTTGTCTACAAGTTGATGATTGGAAGCTCTAAAAATAACAGAGAAAATTATCCGAGAAAATGCTTTTGAACACAAGAAAAAGAAACAAAGGTTAAATTTAACCCCGGGTTAAGCGCTAATCGGCGTTCGAACAACTGGGCCCAGAGTCTAAAGAAGAACTTGAGAGCAAGTTGCAGAGGATCCACCTCCTTCAAAGATCTAGTTTCCGCCAAAAAGAGGGCCTACCCATGGGTTCTAGCATTTCAGGCATACTGGCCATCTATAACGGTTATCCAGAGAGCAGTATAGAGTAAACAAAATGTCCACAGAGTCCTCAAAGAAACCCTCAACCTGCCAACACGGAAGGGTCATACCTTAAGATTCCGATTTCAGAACGACTCCCAGTACGCATTGCCCACAAATCCTACACCCTTAGACGATCGCGAGCTCTATCCCACAACACCATGGAGCGCGCATGCACTAGAGACAAGTGCCCCATCTCCAGCACCAAATTGTGTTTATGAAGAAACGTAGTGCCAGATCACGTGTAACAGCTGCAGTCAGCATTACATGGGTAGCACGACACGCTTAATCCACGATCGCATAAAAGAACACCTCAATCATGAAAACTCCTCTTTGAAAAACATATCTATTCCTACCAGAATAATGACTATAAAGGCATCGAAGCCAAGATTATTTAGAGTGAAAACGACCCTTTGCGAGGCATTTTACATAAGTACAAGCCTACCCTCAATTCCCGTGAGGAATGTAGCGAATTTGCAGACCTTCTGTTTTCTTGTTTTTTGGTGTTTTTAGAGACTATTTCTATGTATTTTAAGAGACACTCGGTCATTAGACCATTGTACTCTATTCAATTTTTATTTATCTACCTTTCAAACAGACTTCTGCATTATTGTCACGCTTTTACGCATTTTACCTCACACCAGTTTTGTATATATATATCTCCACGCCGAATATTTTCTCATCCCTGATGATGTCGTCGATCGGCGAAAGCTTTGATTTTTATATTTTTTTAAAACGGACAGCAGTTTAGGGCCACATTTGAACATATTTATTTTTATCGCTAGTGTATTTTCCAGGAACGATAACTTTTGAATTTTACAATGTATAGCCAGCCCAATTCACAGTGTCCCCAGGATTTACGTTAAAGACGATAAGTACGTGCTCACCTTTATGCATATTTGACCTCTCTCTTCAATTATAAAACCTCCCAGTGAATCTAGAATTGTCTTTGTAGCTTCACTTATGTGAATTCTAAGGCCTAAAATACAGCAAAAAAAAAAATGACAATAGATGAAAGACAGAAGAAAGAAAGGCGTCAAGGTTTTGGAAAAAAGACTTCAAAGCGATTAAATTTGGCCGATTGCATATATCTTTGAAGGAGAAAGGTCCTATGACCTATACCTTTCCAGGAAAAGGGCTTTACTGAGCTCGATATAAAACC